GCCCGCGCGCACCCTGGGAAGTGTAGGCCTCGCGCCCCCGCCGCGCGCCCCCGCGCCGCCGCCTCCAGACGCGCGGACTACAAGTATGGGCAGGCGCCACGACGCGCAGGCGCAGAGCCCCACGGGTCCTGGGATCGCTCCTCCGGCTCTGTGGGGCTGTCGCCGTGGCCTTGGCTGGGACCGGCGACCGGCGGCTCTCGGGAGCTCCGCAGTCGCCAGGACAGCGGCGGCGCAGGGAAGAACCAGCTTGAAGAAGCCCTTGCGCAGTGGAAGGCCTTTTATGCCATCTCCCTTCTTTACCAGTTTACACCGGGGGAAACCGAGGCACAGCGAGGGTGCGGTGCAGGCAGGATTAGCTGACACCCCAGGGCGAGGTCCGGACCGCTGGACTCGCGCCCTGTGCCCCCCTCGTTACACACCTCAGCTCCCTGCCGCCCGCCCCCTGCTGGGGCCCTGGCCCTGGGATCGCACCCCAAGGGCCCCCGCAGCGACGGACTTCTCTGGGTGACGCCAGCACCCTGCGCAGACCGTGGGTGGGGATAGGAAAGGCAATCAGGGCACGGGGGACAGCACAGACAGCAGGGGCGCAGGGCCTGGTGGGGAGGCAGGGACAAGGAGCTCGCCCTGGGCCGGGGCTGCTGGGAGAGGCCATGAAGGGAGAGAGGGCTGGGCACAGAGTGGACTGGGATTGGACTCCTGAGACAGAGTGTCCCTGCCCACACACGAGCCGCAGCACCCCTCTAGATCAAAAAGGGCCAGGCGGGAGCAGGGGAGCACAAGACTCCCCGAGAGCTCAGGTCCTGGGGAACCAGCCCAGCCTGGATGCCCTGGAGCCCAGGGGGCCTGGCAGGGTCTGAGCCTGCAGCCTTGGGCTGTGCGCCTACCCACTGATGCTGATGGAGGGGCGCGGGAAAAGATCAGGGGTCCCTTGCCCAGCCCAGCCCCCGCCTCAGCAGTGGCCCTTGAGCAGCCCCTGTTGCTATGGGCAACAAGGGGGCGTCTGAACGGCTGAGTGAGGGAGGCAGGTGGGCTGGGAGCACCCACTGTGGCCGTGGAGATGGTCCTGGGTTGCTCCTGGCTGTCCCCCTCCTCCTGAAAGGTTGATGACACCGCTCAACCTTCCTCTCTAGACTTGGAGCGGCCCCTGCCCTCCAGGACAGGTCTGAGTGCCGTGAGCTCACGGTGCGGTGAACAGCATGAGGGGTGTCAGTCCGGGTCATCAACAATGCAGTCATCATTGCCCTCGGTGTCTAATGCAGGGCCAGCGGGCATCTGCAAACACCTGCTGAAACAGAGGGGTGGGCAGAGAGCGCTTAACCTGTCCCTCACCCCAAAAGGAATTCTGGGTGCCCACGCACTCGGGGAGCAGCCCTGCTCCCACCTGCCCTCTTGGGAAGCCCTCTGTCCCCTCCCTATCAGAAGCCTAAGCCCCACTGTGTCTCCAAGGGCTCCTTAGGGCCTCTTAGGAGGCCTCGACATCCTCTGCCGCTAAAATCCTCAGCAGTTGTCCCTGTGAGTTGAGCTGCCCTGGCTGGCCCTGTTTTGGGTGTCCCCAGGGACAGCATGCTGTGGCCTCCCCGGAGAGCTGGCCCGGCTGTGGGAGCAGGAACCTTCATGGGGGTAGAGGCCAGGGGTCATAGCAGGTCTCAGCCTGGAAGGACCCAGGGTCCTGCGGCCCCAGCACTTTCTTCCCCAAGACCTGGACAGAGGCCAGAGAGGCCCTGCCTGGCGTCACCCAGTAGCTTGGTGGCAAGGGCGGGCCTGACCAGGGCCCTGTCATTCATTTCTTGCCCTGTGCCTGCAGCGGCTGGACCTCGGGGAATGTGCCTTGAATCAGATCACTTGGTTTGGATAGATTGAACTGGACTTCAGCCTGAGTCCCTGGGGCTGTGGACTCGTGTGACCCGGAGCCACCAGCTGTCCTTTCTGTCCCTCGGTTCCCTCTTCCGTTAAGTACAGGTGCCACCCTTAGGACTGCTGCGTGAAATGAGCAGTGTTAAGCGGAGCCTCTCCAATCCCTGGCAAGAAGTCAGGCTCCAGAAATGCGGTTATTATGATAATTACTGTTATCAAAACCGATCGGGGAGAGGTGCGTGCCGTGGAGCCCCTTAAGACTTGCCTATTCTCACAGGCATTTCATTCACGCATGCAACAATTTATTAAAAACCTTTGATGTGCTAAACTCCGTTCCAGTGTAGAAAAGGGGCAACAACTTGTCTCCCAAGTCGCGTGATCCTTAGAGAACAGTGCCGCGGGCCGCCTGTGCAGGAGGCCTGACGGGCGGGGTGTCAGAGGGCCAGCGAGGGGCTCGTGGACACAGGCTACAGAGAAACGTCCTTCCCGTGTCCAGCAAGGATGGGGCTCAGTGGTCGGGCGCTTGCCTAGTATGCACAAGGCCCTGGGTCCAAACCCAGAAGGCCCCCAAAAGCCCATTAGTGATGGGAGAAGAAGGTCTGGGCTTTGGTGGCCACAGAGGCAGGGGGAGGACCTGGGGGACCGCAGAGCCCCCACCCTCCCCTTCCTGCCCAGCTCACACCTGTGCCACCCTCAATCCCCAGCCTGACCTCTGCCCCCGCCCAGCCGCTGTGTGGGGACCCCTCCCACTTGGGTGCTTAGGGAGTGTCCCCCACCCCCAGTGACTCCCCTCCCTCGAAGTGGGGGTCCCTGCAAGTCCTCACATGTGCTGGCCCAGGCAGTGGTCCCGTCTCCGTCCTCCTAGCTCTGGTCCCGTGTAGACTTGCCGACTGTCCCTGCCTGAAGATCGCTGCGTCCCATTTGCCTTAGCTCTGACATGACCTCCAGCAGCGCCATGTGTCCTTTCCTCTGCAGGCTGGGGGAGGGTGCTGAGGGTCCCCGTGTCCCCAGAAGTCCTTGCGTTGGAGATGTAACCCCAAAGTCAAATGTGGTATTTGGAGACAGGGCCTCTGGGGGATGCTTGGGGTTCCATGAGGCCCTGGGTATGGCCCGATGGTGGCTCCCGTGTCTTCAGAAGCAGTGCGTTTGCTGTCTGTCCCTGTGGGATGGATGCCTTGCGGTGTGGTCCCACGTTCTTGGACTTCCCGCCCCCACAGAGCTGGGCTCAGGAAACTTCGACCAGCTCAAGCCACAGGAGCAGGCTCGAGGGGGACGGAAGTTGGCTGGGCCTTTGGTTCTGGGGAAACCCAGAGACAAGCAAGCGAGTCTCCCAGCAGCAGGGGTAGGAGTCTCATCCTCCTGCTGTCCCTGCTGGGACCTCTCAGGGCCAGTGCTGGTGTGTGTCCCTCCTAGGCTGGGCTTTTGGGGCTCTACCTGCTGCCTCTGGGGTCAGGAAACACCCACCCTGCTGGCCTCTGGTAGG